TTATGTATATATAAAATAAAAGTAAATGGGCTTGGCAATTATTTTATTATATAATTTGATTAAATTTATATCTAATTTGTTAATAATTTTAATTATAGCCTTAAAAATTAAAAAAATTTTAATTACTGAATTATTACATATATAAATTATTTATATTAGTCTACTTAAATATTCATGGTGTAGATCATTTCATGGCTTGTGTAACATCGATGGTTCCTCCTGTTGGTATATTGGGTTATGTTTTTTTTTTGTTTCTTAGTTATAAAAAAAAAAAGTTTTTTTACAAATATTTTAATAAGTCTGGTAACTCTCCTACAAAAAACTTTCGAAATATGATTATTAGCCAATTAGACTGAAAGATCAGATGCAACATAAAATTAAAACAATTAAATTAATCGAAGATTTTAAATAATAGCTTTATCTTTAGAGCTATAAATAAGGCTAAAGGTGAAATATCTTATATCAAAATTTTATAAAGAATTTTTTTTATTAGAATGCAAAAGGCTGTTTTATAGGCAAAATTTTGAGTTATTAGCTATTTTTTAAAAAAAAACTTGATTTTTACATTACACCTGATCCTTTTATCTAATTGGCTAAATTTACATAGCAGAAAATTTTTTGTAGATGAACTGCCAGAGTTTTTTAAAAGTTCAAATAACATAACATTTTTTTTGTTATTTGATTAGACAATTAAGTAGTACAATTAATAGTTTTAATGAGTAAATTTGAAAATATAGTAATCATTCAGATAAGGACTACTGATAAAGATATTTGTCTGCTATGCAGAGGACCAGAATTCAATACCAGTGAAGGGAGCTGACCTTCCTAGGATACTGATTTTGTAGAGATATGAATGGCCATTTAGTAGAGTGATAAGTTTATTTTATTTTTTTTTTAAATAGTCGGACCTCTCTATAATTACTCTTTATATAAACACATATAAAAATTCTTTTTACAAGTACACCTATTTTAAAACAAACTATTAAAGATATATAATAAAAATTCATTATATAACCACAACTCTTTATATGCACAATTTTTTTAAAAAAACACTATAAATTTTTTGGTATGATTATAGAAAGAATAGATTGTACTTTGATACTATACTAAAAGTTATAAGAGACGAAGAGATCAGATAAAAGTAACTTTTAAATATCTTTAAAAGGTGGTGTTTGTTTTATTAAAATTTTTAACCAGGGTGAATTTCCAGTTATATGGATCGACAAATATAAGTATATACTGTTTATACTTTTTTTTATTAATCTTAATTTTTTTTCATATCATTGACTTCTTTAGTGCCTTGTGTAGAAATGTCTTGGCATCGTTGTCATTATCAGTTCCTTCATTTGGTTAATTGGCATCATCTTCGCCGATTATGGTGTTTTGGTTTGTATCATCGTTTTTTGGTGTAGTTCTTTGTCATCATTTATCAGTGCCTTCCTTGACTAGTATCTTCTTTTAGCTTGTTTCATTAGTTTATTGGTGTCATCCACTGTGAGTATTGCATTTTGTTGACTAATTCAGTTGTTTTTAGCATTATTGTATAGTCAACTCTTTCTATAATGAACTAATGATTCTGAAAAAAAGTTTGTGTTATAGAAAAATACTATGTTTCTTAAGAATCTATAGCAATTTCTATGCCAAATTATTATGAAATTTTAAATTTTTGAGACTGATTTATCCAGAGTTTATTATATAGAGGTTCGCTATATCCAGAGTCAATTGTATATTTATATTGTTATTTCGCTTTGCTAGTGCTTTTGTCTTCGGTGTTGTCTTTTTTTGTTGATGTTTTCTGATACGTCGCTTATTAGCATTTTGTTGTACTTTTTTTTGGTAGCTAATAAGAAATTTCTTGACTAATTAATTTTGTATAATGGGTTTTTTTGAACTGAAGTGATAGATTTTTTTTAATTAAAAGTAATGAGTTCAGGTTAATTTTAGTGGAAATATTAGGGTAGATGTTAGGGTAAGATAAAGCGATTGAAATTTTCTCTGTAATGACATTTAGTGGGTAAATTAGTAGTTATGTTAGCATTGGAGTTTATAGCGTTGATGCTCAGATCTGCTTTTTAAATTGTAATATAATTTTTGTGATCTAAGTAACTTAATAAATTAGTTTAATTAGTGTCGCAATATATAAAAACAAATCTCGATATAAGAAAGGTGATAGCATCAATTGTTAAAAATTTACAAAACTTTTTTATATCAAGAATTTATTAGTAACTTTCTTATATTCGAGTGAATTTATTATAGGCAGTCTGTCTTCAATTTTTTAATATCAAATTTTAATTAGTTTTTCTTGCATTGAGACTTATAAAATTGATTACAGTATAGAATTAGTAAAACTAAATAAAATTATTTATTCAAAAAAAATAATATAAATCTAATCTAATTTGTATAAAATAAAGTATACAAATAAAACTTGATTTAGATTATATAAAAAAAAATTAGAATTAGTACAAAATTAGTAAAAAAGAATAAATTTATTTATTTAAAAAATTAATATAAAGTTTAATCTGATTTGTATAAAATGAAGTATGCAAGCAAAGATTTGAATTAAATTATATAAAAAAAGTTAGAGTTAGTACAAAATTAGCAAAGAATAGAATTATTTAAAAAAAAGTAATATGAGATCTAACTTGCTTTATACAAAATAAAGTATATAGGCAAAAATTTAATTTGAATTATATAAAAAAATCAAGAGTTAGTACAGAATTTATAAAAAAAATTAAAATTATTTATTCAAAAAAATAATATAAAAACTGATTTTTTGTATAACAAAGTATGCTTAATTTGAATTATATAAAAAATTATTAAAATTAATACAGAATTAATAAAGAATTATTTATTTAAAAAAATAATATAAAACCTAACTTGTATAAAATAAAGATACAAATAAAGTTTTAATTGAATTATATATAAATAAATATTAGAGTTAATACAAAATTAGTAAAAAAAGAATAAAATTATTTTTTAAAAAAAGATAATATAAAATTTAATTTAATTTGTATAAAATAAAATATACAAATAAAGTTTTAATTTGAATTATATAAAAAAAAATAAAGTTAATACAAGATTAAATCTTGTATTAACTCTAATATTTTTTTACATAATACAAATTCATACTCTATTTGTATATTTTAATAAATAATTTTATTTTGCTTTACTAATTCTATACTGTAATTGATTTTATAAGTCTCAATGCAAGAAAACTAATTAAAATTTGATATAAAAAAATTGAAGACAGACTAGCCTATAATAAATTTATTCAAATATAAGAAAGTTACTAATAAATTCTCAATATAAAAAAGTTTTGTATATCGAGATTTGTTTTTATATATTGTGACACTAATTAAATTGATTTATTAAGTTACTTAAATTACAAAAATTATATTACAATTTAAAAAGCAGATGTGGGCATCAGAGATATATAGATTTTGTGATATAATTTAGCAAATTATATTTTCGATATCAATAAATTATTTGAATTACTGCTGATTGATAATAAAAATAGTTACTTATCTGTATATAAAATTTAAAAATTTATATAATAAAAAAACTTTATATTTTTTAAAAAGTGTGTTGCACTAAATTTCATTCAGACTGTTTACATTTTAGATTCATTATAAAAGTGCTTGTTGTCGTGTCCAAACTGCTATTATAGCTTTATTTTCATAATAATATTATATATTTTAAAAAAAATTATATATTTTCATATATTATTATATAGTCGACTCTGTATATATCAGCCTTAATATAATAATTTCTGGATATAATAAACACAAAATTTTAAATTTAATAACAGTTTGGTATAGAAAGTGCTATAGGTTCTTAAGAAAGTATAGTAATTTTTTACAATTTTTTTTTCCAAAACTGGTATTTGGTTATAGAAAGAGTTGACTTTAATTTATTCTGTTCGCTAAACAAAATACTAATTAATAGCAATTAATTATACTTTGCTAAACAAAATACTATAATAATTTATTATATTTGCTAAAAAAGATCTATAGCAGGTTAATATACTTGAAAATAAAGTCCCTGCTTGAAAACTACATTTTACTGTATCGAAGTAAATCAAAGTAAATCGCAGTAAATCACAGTAAACCATATACTTTCTGTAATTTGTTTCAATTATAGCAAATCACAAAATTCACACGTTCCTGGTAAGCAACAACTACATGAACTCCAACTCTAACATAACCTCTAATTTACTTATTAAACGTCATCACAGAAAAAATTTCAATCGCTTTATCTTATTCTAATATCTACCTTAACGTTTTCACTAAAATTAACTTAAACTTATCACTTTTAATCAAAAAAAATCTATCGCTTTAGTTAAAAAAAACCTATTATACAAGATTAATTAGTTAAGAAATTTCCTATTAGCCACTAAAAAAAAGTACAACAAAATGCCAACAAGTGATGTACCAGAAAACATTAACAAAAAAAGACAACACCAAAGACAAGGGCATTAGCAAAGTGAAATGATGATATAAATATACAATCAACTCCAGATATAACAAACCTCTATATAATGAACTCTAGATAAAACAATCTCAAAAATTTAAAATTTCATAATAATTTGGCATAGAAATTGCTATTGATTTTTAAGAAACATAGTATTTTCCTATAACACAAACTTTTTTTTCAGAACTATCAGTTTATTATAGAAAAAGTTGACTATACAATGATATCAAAAACAGCTGAATCAGTCAACAAAATATAATACCCACAGTGGATGACGCTGGTAAACTAATGAAACTAGCTAAAAGAAGATAGAAAGAAGGCACCAATAAACAACAACAAAATCAACAAAGAACTATACGAAAAATGACAATACAAACCAAAACACTAGTAATCAGTGAAGACGATGCCAATTAACTAAAAGAAGGAGCTAGTAATGACAACAATGCCAAAACACTTCTATACAAGGCACTAAAGAAGTTAACGATATGAAAAAAAAAATTAAGATTAGTAAAAAAAAAGCATAAATAGTATATACTTATATTTGTCAATCTATGTAACTGGGAATTTCCCCCTGGTTAAAAATTTTAATAAAACAAACACTACCTTTTAAAGATATTTAAAAGTTACTTTTACTTGATCCCTTCGTCTCTTATAACTTTTAGTATAATATCAAAGTACAATCTATTCTCTCTATAATCACACCAAAAAATTTATAGTGTTTTTTTTAAAAAATTATACATATAAAGAGTTGTAGTTATATAATGAATTTTTTATTATATATCTTTAATAGTTTGTTTTAAAATAGGTGTACTTGTAAAAGAATTTTTATATGTATTTTTATATAAAGAGTAATTATAGAGAGGTCTGACTATTTAAAAAAAGAATAAAAAAAACTTATCACCCTACTGAATGGCCATCCATATCTCTACAAAATCAGTATCCTAGGAAGGTCAGCTTCCTTCACTGGTATTGAACTCTGGTCCTCTGCATAGCAGACAAATATCCTTATCAGTAGTCCTTATTTGAATGATTACTATATTTTCAAATTTACTCCTTAAAACTGTTAATTGTACTACTTAATTGTTCAATCAAATAACAAAAAAAAAGTCATATTATTTGAACTTTTAAAAAATCCTTGCAGCTCACCCACAAAAAATTTTTTAATATGTAAATTTAGCCAATTAAATAAAGGATCAGGTGTAATATGAAAATCACGTTTTTTTTTAAAAAATAGTTAATAACTCGAAATTTTGCCTATGAAACAGCCTTCTGCATTCTAATAAAAAAAATTCTTTGTAAAATTTTGATATAAGATATTTTACCTTTAGCCTTATTTATAGCTCTAAGGATAAAGCTATTATTTAAAATCTTCGATTAATTCAATTGTTTAATTTTATATTGCACCTGATCCTTCAGTCTAATTAGCTAACAATTATATTTCAAAAAGTTTTTTGTGGGAAAGTTACCAGATTTATTAAAATATTTGTAAAAAACTTTTTTTTTTTACAACAAAAAAACAAAGAAAAACAGAACCCAATATACTACGTAGTACTAAAGGTTTAAGCAGCAAATATCTTATAAGAAAAAGGTAATAATAATAAGTATTAATATGTATAATAAAATAATAATAATAATAATATAAACTAATAATAGAAAAGAAGAAATAAAAGAAGAAAAGGAAGTTGAAAAATATAAAAATAGATGGTAAGAAAGAAAAAAAGCTATTAAAAAGAAAAATATATATATTAATAATTACTCATATAGGGAGAAAACGTGGATGTAGAAGTTATATGAAGACAATGAAAAATTAAAGAAGAAGTTGGGCAAGTTAGAAGAAGAAAAAAAAGAAAAAGAAGAAAATTAAAAACACTGGAGGAATTAGAAGAAAAAATAAAAAAAAACAAGAAAAAAAAAAAAAAAAAAAAAGAAGGAAGAAGAAAAAAGAAAACAAAAAAAATTAAGAGAAGATAGGAAAAAAGTAGTAGCAGAAGTATTAAATAGAAGATTTTGTGAATTGCAAACAGAAAAAAACAGATTACAAGAAGCAAATAATATTATATTAGCAGAGAGAAATATTTTGATTGAAAGAATAGATAGTAGAATTAGTAGACAAATGTTAAGAGAAATGTATATAGAAGAGGATACAACTGAAGAAGAAATGAAAGAAATAAAGGAAGAGGAAGAAGAAGAAATAATAGAAGAAGAAGAAGAAATGAAAGAAAAAGAAGTGGATTGGTAGGAGTTTAGAGTTCAAAAAGAAGTAAATTGGATAAGGATTTTTAAATAAAGACTAAATTATTTTTCGTTAAGTTATTAAAGTTATTAAAGTTTTTTTTATAATTCTTGACCTTTATTTCAACTCAAGTTTTATGATTTTTCTTGTCCAGGTTCTTTTTGTGCTTTGAATCAGAGCCTTTAAAGCTTATAGAGGTTTGTTTCAGCATTTTTCATACTTCGTAATCACTCACATAATTGTTATATATATATATATAGTCAGATTGTCTACTAATTTGACTTGCCCTTTTTCTTATCTGTTTACTTTCCCCTATTCTAGTTTGTATCTTTAGAACTTTCGTTTGTTTGCCTTCCTTTACTGCCTATTTTCAACTTTTTAGCCTATTTTCACTTGTGTTTTCTTTGGCTATGTTTACGTTAGATTTTTCTAACTTTCCCTAACTTTTTTAGTTCTCACAATTCTTTGTTAAGTGTGCTTTACAAGTTTTCCACATATTTCAGTAAGTATTTGCCTCATACTTTCTATTTTATTGTTCTTTATATAGTCATAGTTCAGTCTTCGGGTCTAGAGATTCAAGATCTCTTCTTTAAAGATTTGTGATGATGAGCGTTTTCATTTTTTAAATATTCTTATGCCAATAGCTGCAGTGACAACCACTATACTGATAACGATAGCAGCAGTGATAATACTGGTTGTACTATTAGAATTAGTAAAATGATGTTGATGTAATAGTGACGAATAATGGTTATATTTTATATTATATGTAATACTAAGTGATATGTAGCATCAGTTAGTGATTTCCTATCTGTATAAAGCAGGCTAACTAATATGAGATTTGAAAATACCATAAATAGTAAATTTCTGTCTAGAGATAAAAAAGATTAAGTATAAATCTTGCTTCTAGATTTTGGTAGAACATCATAATTGTATAATATTGCATACTAGCATTATGCTGCATTATGCAATGCAGAGCCAAAAAAATATATATTTGCACATCTCTAGTCTCAAAATATTGTTTAATCAGCTTTTATATTCGAAACACATACTTTGACATGTTTGTTGTCTCATTATACTGATTTAAGAAATAAACAATGCTGGCTGTTTTGGTATATATGATATTGATTTTTTGGAAAGGATAAACTAAATCAGCCACTTTTTGCAAAAATTTTTTTAAAAAAACTGGTGGGCTAATGAAAATATATAAGGTTCTTCTTGTAAATTTTATAGTTGTATAGTCTAATTTTTTAGTTTTCACTAGATATTTTTAACTAGAGACCTACAAAAACATTGCTTCCAGGATAACTCTTCTGGTTTGGATGCTAAAAATGCGAGAAGGTCTACTAAAAAGCTTGATCCAAAGACACAGCTTGCTCTTTATTATATGTCTGCTTCTTAGTATTTCATATATATGATAGCTTCATCGATAGCAAGTTTGTTTATATGGATCAAGAGTATCACCTTAAAGGATAAAACTGATTAAAAGATCATTTATCATTGTGTCTACTTTGTTGCTTTTCTATAGCATTTTTCTGTAGTTAAGTTTATTTTGTTGTTGACTAAAGGATCATCAGAAAGAGTTGATTTTTGATTAATATTGATACATTTCTTACAAATTACTATTACTTTACTAGCATATATGGATAATACTATATAGTACTATGAAAATAAAGATAGTTTATAACTACTACTTAAAAATGTTAAACAACTTTACAAACTTAACAATATTCAAGTCAATCTAATAAAATCTAATTTTCTATATATTAAACCTTACTTCAAAAAAACATTAAACCAAAAATCACAATCAGTAATTATCTTTAACAATAAATCTATAAAATCAAAGAAATTATATTAAATACCTTGGCATCTATTTTAATGATATAGATTTTTTTTTTTTTTTTTTTTATTAACTAGCCTCTTTGGCATAGGGGTTTTTATTCAAGTATAATAGGCAGGGAGCTCACAACGGAACTCCAATTATATTAGAGAGTACAACTAGCCACACATGCGCCTTTTGAGTGCCTATTTAAGTAGTCTGCATATAGATAACTGTACACCATAGGTTCTATACTAGCTGCCATACCTATAACCCAACTAGAAGATTACTTATTTAAACTCTCTGTAATGTACACTGCCTCTTGTATCACCGGAACACTCTGTTACATTCGTTAATCAAGAGTTCCGGATGTGTACTGTAGCCTTAGAACTAATTTATCCTTGAGGCATCGTTATTAGAGCTTTCCGTACTCACAATCTGGTTAATCTAGACTTTCGGTAACTTATGCCAAGTCTGAAAATAAGTACTTGCAAGCCAAAGTCACTACCATTACCTACTCTTGACTTTGTAAAGTTCACTCAAATCACAGCACCCACTTTACAGACTATCTACCATTTCACTGGTCCCTGAACTTCTAATCCAGATAGCTCAGAAAGACAGACCCCTTCATACATCGACAGCCTGGTTGGTATGGTGCCTTGCTGAACACCTCAGTCCCATCCAGTTTCCAGATCTTTGGTGATAATCCTTTACATAGCACTATCAAAAATCTGTGCTATCTCACTGCTCAGGATTTGCCAAGCAGGATTCTGTATATTTTAGCCCTTAGATTTACACAAACACTTTACTCAGGTTTCATGTAATTCTTGCATCACACTATAATTCTATATTCTTTCAGTACAAGCTGATATGACCAAAGCTACAGATCTGATGATCTATCAGATTATACACAGTCTGCCATAACACATTCTGTAAAATTCGAATTTCGTTACTATTGGGATTCAAACTCTTGTTCTGCCACTTGGGAGTGTGACAACTTAACAACTTCACTAAGTTGCTACACCCTAATAACATAAATTCTACTCAACCTACAATTGATAAAATACTAAACAAAACAAACAATTTTATTAAACTTATACAATTCAAAAAATTTTTATCTATTTAAATATCTAGACTTTTTAATACTATTTTTTTACTATCACTAGAATATCTCTTGCAAGTTATTTCCTTTACAAATCAAAAAATTACTTAGCTTTCAAGCTTTATAATCAAACAATTTAAAAAATCTCTCAATTTTTTATTTAATACTAATAATGATATTCTTACAAATTCAAAACTTCTAAATATTTTTACTTTTCATAAATGCTTACTTATACTAGTTGCAGTATTATTAAAAAAACAATTAATTCATCTCTATTATTAAAACAAATCTTTAAACTTTGAACCAAAGAATAGCTTCAAAAAATTTGGCAATCAACAATTATTTCTAATAAATCCTACAATACAAACAAAAGATAACAAACTTTAGGTTATACTGTAATAAAATTTACTAAAAACTAACAAGCTTTAGCAAATCTTAAAGAAATAAGTGTCGAGTAGACAATTTTTTATTTAAAGAAAATTAAAAGAAAGATAAAAAAAATAAAATAATTAAACAGGATTTAAATTCAATAGCCTTCTAGATACTATAAGGAGTTAGCAATAGACAATTGTGTTTGGGATCGAACCTATTGTCCAGTTTGTATAAGTCGGGTTTAGCAAAATGCTTGCCTTGTACAAGGATTATTAGACTTAAAAACTTAGAAATATCCTGAGATATAATCAGCACTAATAACCAGACCGTCGACAGCTATATATAGCCTTTAAATCCTAATAAAACAAAGCTAGTATTTGCCAAAATACTATTTAAGAAGACAGCTTTCACTTTATATTATTGACAAGAAAAGAGCAAATTTTATTAAAAGAAAAGATAAAATAGATAAAAGAGATAGATAAGGAATAGTTTTTATTAATAATGTCAAGAAAAGATAAATAAAATATAAGTTTATTAAAGGAATTTTTA